TCCACATTCAAAGACTCGAATTTTCGAACTCATTTCATCATGCGAATATTTTGAGTCATGATCTAAAAAAACAGTTACACGTTTTTAATTCAAAACGTTGAAATGATTCGTTTTATTGACGTCCAACAGAAACGCCATTTAAATAATGAGAGTTGATAGTTCCATCTCCGTTTGACTTAAAATGTTAAATTCGTGTTTTAAAAGTCCTGAATTTCGTATTGTCAATTTCTAGTGAGAATATAGAGCTTCAAAGTGGGAAAAATTCGAACTTTTTTTTGGAACATAGTTTGAGAATATGAATCTTAAAATCTTAAAACTCAAGAGGTTTTAAGTTATGTTCTTAATTTAATGAATTTCATTTACATCTTCTTTATAAAAACAGTGATGTTTTTAAAATCTATATTTTTATCTTTATTTTGCCTTAAACCTAAATTTCAGATTTGATTTTAATGAAGACTTTACTTTTAAATACATTTTTAATATTAAATAATTTTCCTTATTCTAATCATTCTCTCAAGAAAGATTCAGGATTCGAGAAATTTTTAGGTATCAGATTCAGGAAAATTTGGGATTCGCTCTACCGCTAAAATTTTGAATATAATATATATATTACCGTGAAAGAGCGAAATTGGAGAATGTCGACTTTCACCGGAGAATGTCAACATTCACCAAATACGTCGGTGAAAGATCGAATACTTCTTTACATTCTTGTACATTCGGACCCTCACCGGTGTATGTCGACGATCACAGATATGCTCTGGTGTAGGTTGAAAAGAGAGGAGTATACGCTGTCATTGTAAAAGGAAGTGTTCCACAAATAAATGCGGTTGTAAAAGCAAGGGCCTCTTGTGCAATTCAAAGTGTCATAATAGTTTAAGTTGTTGCAATAAATAAGATTTGAATCACGTAATTTAGTAAGTTTTTAACTTCTATTATTTTCCTTTCTCATTTTGAATGTACAGTTTGTTTTAAGTTCCTTAAGTTCTTATTTTAAATCTCAAGTCCGTTTCTCGCGACTGAATTACGGAGAAGAAAATATAATAATATTCTTATATGTTCAACATTTACCATTAGTACATGGTGAATGTCGACATTTACCGGTGTAAGTCAGAAATAAGAGTATTTCGAAAATATTTCGGACATACACCAAGCGACTATGTGAATGTTGACATTCACGGGTGAAAGTCGACATTTTCCAGATTTTGTTGTTTCACCGTAACATATATACTACGTTGACAAATGCTGCTTTCATTTACATATTGTAAAAAATGACATATATTACGCTATAAATTTACAGGTAATAAAGAGAATGAATTAGAAACGAAAGTTGGATCATGTAAAAATTAAAATTTTCAAAAATTTAAATACAGTGAAACGTTTCAAATATTAAAAATTCTAATTAGCAGGCAAAGTTTTCTTATATTTTAGCTCTCGTAACAGACATATAAATTGCATAAAATTTCATTTCATGTTTCCTGAATTGAATATAAGTGCGCAATTCTATACTGCTGAGACTGAAATTCGTGAAATAAATTTGTCAGAGTAAGATAACCATGTCTGAAATCTTCCGTTTTGCTCTGTATTATTGAGGGTTTTCAGCAATAAAAACTTATCATTAACATCTGTAGCCTACACCAATCAGAACTTGTAATATTTCGTCATATTTTAACACATGAATCACTAAAAATGTTTTAACAGTTTTCTAGCAATACCGTTCTGTACTGAGAAACGCTTATAAGGCTTTAATTATTTTCATGCTTAAAGTGATACATATACCTAGACTTCCTTTCAGGAATAAATAAATTTTAATCAAAATTGTTCTATGTGATAAGCAGTATTGAAAGAAAAATATTATTTTATTACGGAAAAGTTATATGAAGATTTCGTAGAATTCATTTCCTCCTAAAATATTCAAAATTAAATAAATTAATACATTTCTTATATAAAAATGTTCAGTTCGTCGTAATAGTCTTAGAAGTTTGAAAAAGACTTTAAAGATTAATGAGTGTTTCAGTTTTTTTATTCTTCACAAGTTGTATAAATTCTCTTCACTTACATTTGTATGTGTTAGCAGAATTAGGTATTAAGAATTTTGATCGCTAAGAGGTGTGAGGTTGACTTTAGAGGACGACAATTAGACTCTGAATTCAGATAAATTCCAGCTTTTAATTGCCGTTGATTTTTTTATATATTATGCGAAATTAGATAGAATTTGATACGTCTGTTTCCCATTTATCTATCTTCTTCAATTTTAAATTTTTGTATTTACCTAGTGTATTTGTCCATTTTCTTCAAGGAGCAAAATTGTCAAAGTTGTTCTGATAATTTCAACGGTTTAAACCCACGATAAGAAAATGCGACATAGGTTTCTTTGAGCAAAATTAGATAGAAATAAAGCAAAAGATGGGGGAAGGTATAAGCATAAAAGCATTTAAACACATATAGAGAGAGATGGGATAGTTTAGTTAGGTTAGATTATCTGAAAATGGCCTAGTACTTGGGAGCTATCCGCCTAAGGGCAGTGATGACTTCATGAAGAATGTCTTAAGGGAACTGGGCCTTATTCACTTAACACATGGCAAAAAACAAGAAACCTATTCTTGCAGCTTGCCCGTTCTTCTCGGATCCAACCTGAGCTGAATTTCCACTAATCAGCTGCTGCAACGCATCGGACATTTCATGTTTTTGTCTTTTAAGGATGACAAATCCTAAAAGAAACGTCTAGAAACAAATCGAACACTTTTCTAAAATCAAAGCAAATCTAAAGATGATTTCTTACCTAATATTTCAGTTCATTTCAAACAAGGTTCTTTAATATACTTATTAATTTCAAAACATTAACGTAATGCAAATGTTTTTATTTTATAGTATACGAAGGAGACATGATTATTTTCGATAATAACAATTTTTAACAATCCTATAATTTATTTAGCATTAAATATATTTCATAAATTTAGTTTCTTTCCCCTCCCCCCAAACTACAAATACTTTTTTCCAGCAGTACATTTATCTTTTATTAACATCAAATATTATCTACTGTTTGAAAATATATTATAGAGAAATTAATGATATTTTAAAATTATAAGTATATATAAAAGTAATTATATGAATTACAGTATTAAATTCCATCAATAATAGATCCACATTAATTTTCAATCAAACCATTAATAAAATTAGAACGCAAAGTCATGTATAAATTCGATATTTGAACCAAATGTATAAATATTAAAGACCTAGTTGAACTTTCTGGGTCAGTTTCATTTTAAATGTCATGTGAAAAAAGGTAGGTAAAATAATGACTACAATTTTTAAATGCTAAAATCTAAATTTTTAGCATACATCTAGAAGTTTATCTGTCCAAAATTTCATGTTTCCAAAATTCTGGCTCTGAAATTACGAAGCTCGTACACATAGAGTAGCGCCATCTATCCATAAAAAGGTGAAACTTACAAATACAGCTTTCTTCCTGATATATTCGTTATGCGCATTTAATAAATTTTATTTCTAAATAAGAACAGAAAACCCTTTATTTAATTTATAATAATGAAAAATTTTTGCGTCTAAAACAGAAAATGATTTACACGCATACCATATATTTACATATTTGCTCTAACAAAATAAATGTTGCATCTCATCGTTGACGACAAAACTACTTACTGTCTATAGTACTAAAAAACACTTTGATTAGCAAAATAAATTTGCAGAAAATACATGTGTTGGTTATCAGAATTAGTAAATAATATCAGCCTATTTCAAAGTTTTTGAATTTCAACTAAGGCAATAAATTCAGTTTTCAGAAACAAAGCTTTTTTCAGGAACACGTTATGTTATTTTTATCATATTCATTTAGAATATTAGTTAGTTTCTTTTAATAATAATAATAATTACTATTAAATTATTATTAGAATAATTATAATACTATTAATAATTAATTCTAATTTTATTAAAATAATTATAATACTATTAATAATAAATTATAGTAATAAGTTTGTTATTATTTATTTTTTTGTTTATAGCTTTACGTAATTATATCAAATGTAGTGTAATGGAAATCTTGAGCTCAATCTTTATGCTGTTAACTATTTCACATAAACAATTTTAAAATAAAAAAAAAAAAAAAAAAAAATTAAAATCTGAAATGTTTCAGATTTTAAATTACGTCCAAAGGGGCGTTTTTTTAACGTTTTGAGTGTTACCTTTATTTATTAATATCATGTTCTTTGGCACTTAAACCATAAAATTCAGTTCAAGAGCAATATCGCAAAATAATGTTAAATTAAGCATATCTTTAGAATTTCCGATATACACAGTCTCGCGAGCTGGAGATAAAAGTATTTTTTTTCTATATAACGTTGCCATTTCTCGCTTTTAAAGCATTGAGTTTGTAAATCAAAAATTCGTTAAAGTTTTACAAAATATAAAAATCTATAATAAAACAAATTCCAAATTTGGGATTTCAGATGCCCATATTCGCAGTAGGATTTCGTCATTCAAAATTCGATGGCTCTATGTACCATTGTTTTATCACAATGCGAGAAATAGACAATCATTTATGCAGATTTTTCATTATTTAATTTCTTCAAATATAATGTGCCCACCAGCGGCAGAGCGGTAAAGACGCTGAACACTGGTAGTTCGGTCTGAGGTTCGAATCCCGCGAACGGGCTGGCTGCGTGAGCGTTTTCGTGGTTTTCCCCATGTGTAACGTGTATACGAGCCAGTTTCCCTTAGAAAGTCCTCTACGAAAGGCATCCCTCCCTTTAGGCAGATAGCCCTCGTGTGCTTTGCCATAATTAAATACACCAACACCAACTCAAATATAATGCAGGAATCTAACATTTTGTGGCAACAGTTTGAAAAGTGAACCGACGTTTATGAGTCCGGCGCAAAATCGCAAAACGAAAACAATAGTCCTTCAGGGACAAAGCTCCTTTGGACTAAAAATAACTTTTCCCTCCCCCTCTCCACAAGCTTGATATTGCTAAAACATAAACCGAAACCATTTTTCAACACTTTTATTGTTTGTGTTTAATCTACGTTACATTTTTACCATCCGTGGGTGAATCACCTAGAACAAGGACTCCCAAACTTTTTCTTGCATCGACCTTTTTTTCAAGGAGCAATTTTCTTCAGCGACCACCTTACATTTTCCACTGTAATATAGAGTATTCAACATAAACATAATACAATTATTGCACATAAACAATTATGTTAAGAAAATGAACAAAAGTTTTGAAAAAATAGTTTGCTAGAGATATATGGTTTATTGTATTTTGTATAATTATTTTAATTTTACAAATATAAATAAAGTCCTAAAAACAAAATCACGAATTAAAATTATACAAAAATTTGATTTCAATTAATGTAATAGTTGAATTTGATATACTGATATAATTTTTAGAATATTAGTCTAAAACTGCTTAATTGTAAAACCCTTCCATTAAAAATATTCAGTCGTGTTTTCTATTCTGCTTTTGTTTTCTTCGTATTTTTATCTTGTTTTCTTCTGTTTTTGTGCTTTATTTTTTTATATTTCACTTATAATTTTTATGTACTTCGTAAAAACATTGATTTAAGAAATATTTTAAATAACTTTAGTAGATTTTTCCCTTATATTTATTTTGTATCATTTCTTTTTTACTACACGATACAGCTTTATATCAATAAATAATTAATTACCTATATTAATATTTTTCTTCTTTTTTTTGTAATTAATGGGAGTCTTGATTATATCGATCAACTGCCAGTTGCACATTCAGCTATTGACCTCAGTCGACCTCTTGATCATCTTTGACCTCCTTTAAAATTTCATCTACATCCAGACGGTTAATACTAAACCACTGGAAAACCCTGGTCTAAAATATCTAAAAAGTGTTCTGATCTTTCGCTGTTTGGTATGAAAACTGTGTGGTTTTTCTCAAAACTCAGTGAAGCATTCACAGTTTAGATACTGTAAATAATAAGTAAAGTAATATATTCCGTTTACCGGTTTATCTCAAATTTGTCTAGATTAGTCTAGATTCTATTACACATTCAAAATATGAATTACAGATGCTGATTTTAACTTAGGAAGAGGAAACTATAGCTTTATTCATTTCAAATTATGATAGAGAATAGATAAAACAATATATGCAGTAAATTATGATAGAGAACAGATAAAGCAATATAAGCAGACAATATTGAGTGCATTACTAATTTGTAAAACAGGTTTCAAATATTAAAATGAAGGTAAAGAATTTGTGCTCTCCTCGCCAAGTGCCGTCGTGGTAGAATGGGATACATTTGGCTGGCAGCTGGTGTGTGTGTGTATTTAATTATGGCAAAGCACACTAGGACTATCTATCTAAGGGGGAGGGACGCCTTCGTGGCGGACTTTCTAAGGGAAACTTGCTCATATACATGTTACACATGGGGAAAACCACGAAAACACCCATGCAGCCAACCCGTTCACGGGATTTGAACCTCGGACTGAACTACCAGGGTTCAGCGACTTTACCGCTCGGCCGCTGGGGCTGGCAGTTGGAAGGTACAGAGTTTGGATCCCAGGGAAAACATTGCTGAATTTTCGTGCTTACTGATCAGATAACGGTGCTACTTTGGTAGACGGTTGCACGGATTTTGGCGATTTGTTGGCGATTTTTCTTTTGGCGAGTAATACAACTTATGGTAAACCCATTGATGGATAAGTTATTTATGGTAACCGATACTTTGTTGTCATTTTATTTAAAAAATAATGTGTTTTATTGTGCATAAATTCCGTGTTTTAAATATTATTTATGGCTTCTAAATATTAAAAATCAATTTAATTTTGCATTTTTATTTGAAATAAAAATTTTATGTTTATCATATTTTATGAAATTTTATGTTGTGGATGATGTAACCAATGGACGTCACCTTACTTTAAAAGTAATTGGTTTTTATATGTATAAATTTAATCTAATGTTTTAAACATTATTTATGGCTGTTAAATATTAAAATACAATTTAATTTTGCATTTTTTTAAAAAAATGATTTTATTATGTATGAATTTTTAAATAATTTTAATTCTAGGCATGATGTAATAAGCTCTCTGATTGGTTATAGAATATTTGTGCATTAACGAGCTGTAATCAGCTCCCTGATTGGTTACTGAAAATTTGTGCATTTCCGCGCCGTTTTAAAATTTAATTCATATCTTCGAATTCCTTGAAAGATGTCTTCAAAGGTTTTATTTAAATTATGATTTCGATTTTTTGTGGTACTTGTCAATAAGCAATAGGTTAAATGACTAAAAAATGTAAGTACATATTTTTCCTTTATTTTATAATTGCATACTTCAATTTTTTGTTGAAAAATGAAAAAATTAATACACTATTTTCAAAAATTGCTGAGATAATTATTGTCCATATGTTTTAATGTTAATTATATTCTATATAACGTATTTTAAAGTATTTGAATTAATAATATTTTCTAATTCTTTTAAATGTTGGTATGATGGTTTTTAATTCGATATTCAATTTCAGTAATATTTTAATCTAATTAAAACGTTGGCACAAATGTTTTTTATAGCGGTGTTTTTATTCTCTTTGCTATATGAAAGTAATAGTAACCTTACTTTAGTATTTTATACTCATAGTAAATGTATTTATTTACCCTTGCTGCCATCTTAAAAAGCGACATTTTCAACAAAATATTAATCCATTACTTTTAACGATATTTATTTTTTTAAAGTTTCGAATACTTTACTATGCGTAAAAACAGCGATTTTCAAGATGGCTGACGTTTGTAAAAATCGCGCCAACAATTGCGCCAACATAAATCGCCAAAATCCGTGCAACCGTCTACCAAAGTAGCACCCAGATAACTACCGAATGTTTCTATAAAGATATTATAAAAGAAAGTTAATTAAAATAAACTATAATTACAAGTTCCGAATCATACAGTATATGACTAAACGTCAATGGGTCTTAAATTATACATTATTTAACATTTCCAGTGCTTCCGATGACTTTTCATCTTCGGACTTAGCTGTTTTAAAAACAAAGATGAAAATAAAGTTTTTTGACACTGCATCTTATAAATACAGTTAAAATTTAACAAAACTTACCAACGAACTACTTGCGAATATCTTAAGAAATACAGATGTTTAAATATGTACAACGCACGCACTCTGAGTTTGTATACATGAGATTTCCCATGTCTAAAATTATTTAAAGGGCTAAATTTTTAGCAATCAAGCTAGGATGATAATTTATGTATTCTAGTATCCACATACAAACACACATACACGCAATAAATAAATAAATAAATAAAAAACTGAAAGCTTTCAGATTTTACATTACGCCCAAAGGGGGCGTTTTTTAACGGTTAGTATGTTACCTTTATTTACTAAATATCACATTCTTCGCACTTAAACCTTAAAATTCAATACAACGACAACATCGCAAAATCAATTTCAAATGAGCCTACCTTTAGAATTTCCGATACACAGTCTCGCGAGATGGAGATAAAAATGTTTTTCTGTGCAACGATGTCATTGCTCGCTTTGAAATCTTTGAGTTTGTTAATCAAAAATTCGTTAAAGTGATGCGAAGTATGAAATTGATAATAAAACATATTACAAATTCTAAATTACGGCTTCGAGATGCCAAAAATCAGTGGGAGATTATGTTATTCAAAATTTGATGGTTCTAGGTACCGTTGTTTTATCACAAAGCGAGAAACATACATTTAAGCAGATTCTTCATTATTTAATTTCTTTAAATATAATGCAGGGCTTTAATTTTTTGTGGCAACAATCTGAAAAGTGAACCGACATTTATAACGAACCAACGCAAAATGCCAAAATGAAATTAATAGCCTTACTGGGCTAACCCCCTTTGGGCTAAAAAAAAAAAAAGAAAAAAGAAAAAGAAAAAGAAAAAAAAAAAGAAAGAAAAACTGAAAACGTTTTAACGATATTTATAGTTTAATATCGTTTATCAGTAGAGATTAGATGCCCCAGGTGGAGTAGCGAAACATTTTATAGGATTTTTCATGAATACATTTAGACTAACATGAGAGCATAATAGCATATCTTCTATACATTTAAAAAGTGAGAAATATGTAACGTGATTCTGTAAAAATATTAATGTCATCAGTTGCATATACCATGAATTTAAAGCATTTTAATTCATAAATGTCATCAGTTGCATATACCATGTCATCAGTTGCATATACCATGAATTTAAAGCATTTTAATTTAAATCAATTAGATTAAAATGTAAAGAAAAATATTCTTAAGTATTACATCTATTGAATTTCAATAATTTCAATTTGTTAATTAATAACCGATAGGCTAAAATGAAAGAACAATATTTTACGTTTTTCCGAATGGCTACAAACTCGAATGAAAAGTGAAACAACACAAAATAGTGTTTTGGAACCTTTCAGGTACTTTTTGTTTTAAATGAATGCTTAAATAACTCAGTTGCAACTACTCGCGACTTCTAGGCCAAAGTGCTTGTAACTGCAAACAGGTGGATAAAGATCTTTCCCTAAGTTACACATTCGCTGTCTGTTTAATCTCCATCAAATTTGCATTCTAATGAAAGCTGAGAGATGAAGTAGACGTTATGGAAAAGAATTAACACAAAAATAAGCTGTTACCTAAAATAAATTTCACGGTATAATAAAAAAGAACTACTAAAAATAACACACCAAACTCTGTGAAGATTTTGCATGGGGATACGTAATTTATGGCATTAGAAAGATGTTTTATTTCATATATTGTTTCAAATATTCGTAATTATTGATGGATGTATTATAAATGAAATACATTTAATATCAATTAATATGTTTAAAATACCCATGATTTATAATCCATGGTTTACAAGGAAGAAAGAGAATTTAATAAATGCATATCGAAGTGAGATAAACATAGTAAGATATAGCAACTCAAACCCATCGGCTTCGTGTTTTTGGTTTGGAGTGTGTGCTTATTTCTCGCTTATACAAATATGCATATTTCAAGAATTCTAGCTATCTGTAGTCGCATAATACATGAATTTCTTTCCTTTCTTTTCATGTAGCACGTACTGAGAAAATAAAGACTTTTATTTTTAAAATTTCAATTGCAATCATTCCTTGAAGCATTATATTACAGAGCGTAGTAAAGGTACACTGCTTCATCTCT